TTTTTGTAATATCCTGTTTCCTTTTCCCATGCTCCTGCCCAATGCTGGTCTGCCATGTCAGGTGGTCCGCCTCCTAAACCCCGCCCCCAGCCTAGGGCTATTTAAACTTGGACCCCCCACGAAACGCCCTCAGAAGTTCCATGTCTCTGTCTCTCTCTCTCTTTCTTGTGGTCTTCTCCAGTCCACAATAAAGGCATTTTATTCTGCTTTATTTCTCTCTGTGCTGGAAAAACCCATCAGTATCCAAACTTGCACTCTGCACAGATGCCTGCTTTCTCGCTGGAAGGTGCAACTCTCTTAATCCACCTTACAATGAGTTCTACCTAGGTTTCTGCAGAGCTTGGGTGTCTTGACTGAATTCTTTTATCAAGGGCACAAAGAGCTGAAGGCCAAAGGAGTGAGGATTTGTCACTGCATCTATACCTGGCGTCCAGGTGACAGGTTCAATGCCTCTATTGCAATAAATAAATAAGTATAAAATGAAATGTAAAAAAATAAAATGAGCATTGCTAGTGGTTGCCTTTTACTCATGATTGTTGAGGGACTGTGTGAGATGCTTTGCCAGTCCAAAGAATAGACTTAGATCTGGAATACGGAGAAGTATTCAAAAAAGGAGGAGGTTGGGCTTCTTCCGGGCAGCAGGAACAGCAGCCAGGAGAACTTGTAGCAGGCAGAATTTGCCTATCTCCTGATGAGAATTGTTCTGCACTGTTATCAGTTATCTATGGTTTACAGACTTGTAAAATAGTTCAAAAGCAAGAGACAGCCCTGAGCCATTACTAATAGAATCACAGTCACCGTGTTCAGCAAATGCTTAAACCCGATGCCAGGTAGTGTTAGGTAGGGTCCGGAGGAGGAGGAAATGGAAATAATTCCCACAGTCACATATAATATTGTGTCTGCCCCATATCTATTCTACAGAGCAAAACATAGATGTCAGAGAGGTTAAGAACCTTGCTGATGGCCACACACCTAGGAGGTTCTCAAGGTGGTGGGAGGTACCTAACCCTACCCTCCTCGGGGAATTAAATTGCAGGTTTGCTGAGTCCTGTCTTGGAAAAAGAATTTTCAGGGTGGGATTGATGAGGTAGCAAAAGTTTAGAAGCACATACTCAGGCTGGGTGTGTTGGCTTACTTCTGTAAGCTTAGCACTCCAGGAGGCTGAGGCAGGAGGATCCCTGTGAGTTTGAGGCCAGCCTGGGCTACATAGTGAGTTCAACTAGTTCTCCTACCTGTGCAGCCCACTTCTTGATAGTTACATATACCCCATCTGATTATCTCTATGCTGAGCAAGCTGGGTGGGCTTCTTTATTCTGAGAGCTGGGTGGGGTTTTTGGTGTACTTCAAATCAATCCTCATGTCCTCCAGTTCAACACTTTTTTTGGTACTGGGAATTGAACTCACAACCTCCTGCTTGCCAGGCAGGTGCTGTGCCGCTGAACTACATCCCTGGCTCTCCTTCAGTTTAGAACACAGCTGAAACTACTTCCCTGGGACACTCATCCAACACATGCAGAAAAAGAAAAGTTTTAGTGAAAACACAAAATAAAACCTGGAGCCCTGGAAAACGTGCAACGGCCCGAGCACTTTGCCTGGTTGGGGGCGTTGTCCATTGCCGAGCCTGAGAGAGCGTCTTCATCCATGGAGACTCCCTCTCAGCGTCCAGGGTACCACTGCCGAGCCAGTCTGTCCCTCTACCCTCTGTGTTCCTGGCCATGGTGTGCAGTTGTCTATAATTCCATCTCCAGATGGAATTATAGAATGATTCCCACAGGTTGACCAGAATCCCACAGGCTCACTTCCTCCTCTGCAGCAACAAGAGGCCCAGAAAGCTGGACTCTGAGTCCATCGGATCTGCCATGGAGATGGGGATACAACCCCTCTCCCACCTGCCTCTCTCCCAGGGCCTCTGGGCTGAGCTGTGTCTCCAGTCCTTTGTATTTATTTTTTAAATTTTGGGACAGAGTCTCTCCAAGTTGCCGAATGACAGCCGTGCACCACTTGCTCCTAACTTTGAAAAAGCGCTCCTGGGGATTAGGATGCCCAGAAAAGTTGGTTTAGAAGTAAGGATTTATTTCAGGAATCCCAAGAATTTCTCCCACTTGGTAGCACATTCCTTGGATGCTTGGCCAGGTGGGAAATTGTCAAATAATACCTAAGCCTGAAAAGATTCTTTCAGTTTGGAGCCAGTGGGCTACCTAGTATTTTGAATTTAAGATTTAGAAAGATCTGGGTGTGGTGACCTATGCCTATGATATCAGCTACTCCTAAAACTGAGGTAGTTTGAGACCCATCTGGGCTAGTTAGCAAAAAATAGCTAAAAATAAAAATAAAGAAAACAACTAACAAGGACTGGGGATGCAGCTCAGGGCTCCCTGGGCTCAATTTCTACTACCAATAAGATAAAATAAACTAAAATGAAATGAAATGAAATAAAAGCAAAGCAGTTTGTCATTGTGGTAAGTCACAAAGTAATGACGTATTTAATGTAAAATATGAAACTCCTCCCTGCCTCTAATTCCCTCGCCCAGTGAGTCCAGTCCCGTCCCCTCTGTATGGGAACTTTTCCTGTTCCTTGTTCGTGAATTCCTTGTCCTTGTAGTGCGTATTCAGACACTTACATTTAGACGTGGGATCCAAGTGAAAGTTTAACTCCGTATGAACTAAACCGTGTACACGGGAGCTCGTTGTCTCACAAAGCCAAAGAATGCAATCGCAGACAAAGGAGGAAGTTAGGAGAATGTTCATTGGAAATAAGAAGAAAAGTAGCTCCTGGGTTCTAGAAAGGACTCCCAAAGTAGAATGCCAAGCTGCTTTCTTTTTTCTGATCTTATAATAAAATCAGAGCATGAGGACTTGCTTTAAACATGTGGCTCTTTGTGTTCAGAATAAGCAATTGGGGTTTAGGCTTTGTAATGTAGTCTAAGGAAAATCAGTTACTTAGTTCAAAGGAAATAGGTTATTCTGCATTTCTAAATCTAGCCCAGAGATCGGGCTGTCCACTAACTTAGCACACTCAGCCTATGAACTTTCTTTCCTAGGAGGAAGGATCCTTATCTGCCCATTCTTTTTTTTTTTAAGGCAGAGTCTCACTATGTACCCCAGGTTGGCCTCAAACTTGTGGCAATCCTCTTGCCTCAGCCTCCTGAGTGCTGGGATTACAGGCGTACACTGGCCAGTCTGATTTTACAATTTTTTTTAAAGCTTACTTAGCTGCATAGCTTGAATTAGCTCTTAACTTAGTGTATATGCTGTTTTCTTATGATCTAGCGGATTCTGTCTTAGGTCCTGTCTCTTTTACAAAAGGATAGATTTTTTTTTTTATCATGTCCATATTTATCTCAATTATAGCATTAACTCTCAGAAAGATCATTAAAAATTTGAAAAAAATCCAAATAAGTAAAGATATAAATAAACCTATCTTTTTATTTTTTTTTTGTCTTTTTGAGACAGAGTCTCCCCATGCA